GCTGGGGGTCCAGTCGCGGCTGGACCGGGAGGAGCTGTGCGGCCAGAGCGCGCGCTGCGCCCTGCACCTGGAGGTGCTGGTGGACAAGCCGCTGCGGGTGTTTCACGTGGAGGTGGAGATTCAGGACATCAACGACAACGCGCCCGTGTTCCCGGTAGGAGAGCGAAATCTCTTTATATTAGAATCGAGACTGCCGGGCTCCCGCTTCCCACTAGAGGTCGCATCTGATGCGGATATCGGCACAAATGCTTTGCTGAGCTACAAACTCAGCCCTAGCGAATATTTTTTTCTCGACTTGCAAACCAATGGTGACCAAAGCAAATCCGCAGAACTTGTGTTGAAGAAACCTCTGGACCGCGAGGAGACCCCCGTGCACCACTTGCTCCTGACGGCGACTGACGGCGGCAAACCGGCGCTGACGGGCACTGTTGAGCTGGTGATCACGGTGCTGGACGCCAACGACAACGCGCCCGTGTTCAGCCAGGCGGTTTATGAAGTGAGTCTTCCGGAGAACGCAGCTAACGGGACCTTAGTCATAAAAGTAAACGCCACAGATTTGGATGAAGGGATTAATAAGGATATTTCATACGCCTTCAGTAGTCTTGTTCCTGCCGTTGTCAGAAAATTGTTCAGTATAGACTCAGGAACTGGCGAAATCCGAGTTACAGGAGAACTGGATTTCGAAGACACGAATTTCTACAGCATTCAAATTGAAGCTACGGACAAGGGCGCTTACACCATGTCCGGACACTGCCGCGTTGTGGTGGCGCTTGTGGACGTGAACGACAACGCGCCGGAGCTGTGGGTGACGCCGCTGTCGGTGCCGGTGGCGGAGGACGCGGCGCCGGGCACGGTGGTGGCGCTGATCCGCGCGCGGGACCGGGACTCGGGCGCCAACGGGGCCGTGACGCTGTGGCTGCGGCCCGAGGCGCCGTTCCGGCTGGTGTCGAGCTTCCGCGACTCCTACTCGCTGGTGCTGGCCGAGGCGCTGGACCGGGAGCGCGTGGCGGCCTACGAGGTGGAGGTGCGGGCCCGCGACGCGGGGGCGCCGGCGCTGGGGGCCAGCAGCCGCCCGGC